ACAGACTGATGTCACCGGAACCGCCACCAAAACAGAAACTATTTTTGCCTCGTTTTGGATCCAAATTTAGATATTCTGGTAAAACCTTTTATCAAACACGGATTGATAGCGAGCGCATCGATAGACCTCCTCTTAACTTCCAACGGACGCTCAGTAATAGAAGATTAACCACAAGAAGTATGGACGGAGGTATTGATCATATTTATGGCACTAAAACATTTTCATAGACATTATATGCTTTAAGTTTTGTTTTGTTGAATGTTTTTTATATCGTTTTGTATTTTAATTTTCCAATTATAAAAGCTTTTGGTTATGAGAGGTATAGAACTCCTGTAGAGCTGAGACCCGATGAGAGCAAGAGTCGCACCATTTCAGGTATTTTTTGCACCGATTATCACTCATTTCAGTCTTCAACTCTCATTCAAACCTGTGATGATCTCAAATCGGATTTTATCTATAAATTTCATTTTATTTCTTTAAAATACTTTAAATCATATTCTGTTGTCTTTTTAAATTCAAATAACTTGTGTTCAAAACTTAATGAAATATAAATTCACTTTGAAATGAAGGTCAAAGAGTGTATGATTCGGACCGTTCGAGTCGAGATGAAAAGGTACGCTCGGGTACTGGTATTTCATCGACAACTGCCACTACACCTGAAAGTATTGGCGGCAAAACTCCATCACTTGATTCAGGCGGCGAAGAAACTGAGCGAAGACATCGACGACCCATCGGTGGTGTCGCTGTATTACCGCCGATGGAAATGAGACGTATTGAAGAGCAGCGAAGAAGTCCTATTGAAAGGCCATTGAGTAAAAGTCCTGCAATACCAGAAGAATCAAAATACAACGAAGAGGTCAGTAGTGAATCCTGTTTTAGAACTGGTTTTTTGTATTACAATTTAATTTAAAGAGTGATTCATTGATTAATTGCATGTATTTTTTATTTGAATTTTTACGTTGTTTTCGTTAAACTGCATGTCTTGACAACCAAATGGCCAATTGATTGCATACGCGTTGATATGCATTGAAATGCGTTTATTATTAAACTAATTGACAACTAATAGCGGTCGCCAACTAAACATACCTACTCTAAAACGAGCGCCACTTCTCCTAAGAGTAAAGTCACTCCGACTAAAAGGGAAGAGTTCTTGAATGAGACAAATAAATTAGTTTCAGAGAGTCCTCTAACTAGTATAAAGAGTGTATGATTCGGACCGTTCGAGTCGAGATGAAAAGGTACGCTCGGGTACTGGTATTTCATCGACAACTGCCACTACACCTGAAAGTATTGGCGGCAAAACTCCATCACTTGATTCAGGCGGTGAAGAAACTGAGCGAAGACATCGACGACCCATCGGTGGTGTCGCTGTATTACCGCCGATGGAAATGAGACGTATTGAAGAGCAGCGAAGAAGTCCTATTGAACGGCCATTGAGTAAAAGTCCTGTAATACCAGAAGAATCAAAATACAACGAAGAGGTCAGTAGTGAATCTTGTTTTAGAACTGGTTTTTTGTATTACAATTTAATTTAAAGAGTGATTCATTGATTAATTGCATGTATTTTTTTATTTGAATTTTTACGTTGTTTTCGTTAAACTGCATGTCTTGACAACCAAATGGCCAATTGATTGCATACGCGTTGATATGCATTGAAATGCGTTTATTATTAAACTAATAGCGATCGCCAACTAAACATACCTACTCTAAAACGAGCGCCACTTCTCCTAAGAGTAAAGTCACTCCGACTAAAAGGGAAGAGTTCTTGAATGAGACAAATAAATTAGTTTCAGAGAGTCCTCTAACTAGTACTCCAAAGGGTCGGCCAACGCAACAGTCGTTTGACTTAAAGCCGGCCGGAAATGCATTCGTCAAAGAATACACATATACTGAAGACGACACTGACTTACGGCGACCGTACAGTCCGAGAGAATACGGATTTACTTATAGTACAGATCGAAAGTCCGGCGCAGATATATCTCCCATCGGCAAAGACGAGTTGCCCTCACCCACTGGCAAACGCTTGACTGGACTCGCCTTCACTTATAAACCGCCCGAAAAAGAGAAACCGAGTGACAGACCGGCTGTCAGTGAATGGAGTAAATCTCCGCCGCAAACAAAAGTCAAGACAGAAGTGCCTTCGAAAGAGTCGACAGCTATTGACCGCACAAAAGCCCAGACCAGAGATAAGCAAGTGATCGGTCAGACCGTAGCCCCAAAACAGTCTAAATTACCCGTTAAGGCGTCGCCAACTCTCGTAGTGTTGGAAAGCGAAACATCCGATAAAAGAAAATCCAAAGATAAATCAGGCATTCCTTTGAAATCACAACAACAGAGAACTGTTTCTCAGACTTCACCCAAATCTGTAGAGACGGGCAGAACTTCACGGCAGTCGAAGGACTCGAAGTTAGATTCGAGTTCAAGCGAGGGGTCGGTCTCTTCGGGCAGTTCTATGGATGTGTACGAGAAGGAGACTGTAAAACACGATCCGACCATAACTGCCACTCCTGTTAAGACAGTGACCAAAGCGGACAAATCAGGAGCTGATAAAAGTCGAATCGTTAGTTCACAACTGTCTGGTCCTAAGATAACTCACGCCAGCCGTAAACGAGTGGTCACTAATGCCGACGGGACTGTCGAGGAAATGGAAGAAGTCCTGGAACCAGATATGATTGGATCGCTCTCTACATCAAAGCCGGTAATTATCGGTGTCGTGCCCTCCGCTGCCACTAAAACTCGTTCTTCGACTTCAGAATCGGTACCAAAAAATTGCATAAATGATTGAAACGTCGACTTCTTTACGCACTAATTATTCTTCCGCTGCTATTCTGTCACTTTTTGTCTGCTTTTTGTTTTATTGCTTAATATTAACCTTTGAATGCATTTTATAACAAATTTTCAAATCACTAATATTTGAAATTAATCTCTAATTTGTGACGTTTTGAAGATTCACGATAAGACCAAACGAACTCAAAGGTCTCCCCAAACGGGTTATCCTAACGTTCGCGAGACATCAAAGACCGCCTCCTCTTCCATATCTTCTGTTTCCAAAAAGCAAACATCCGGTGAAGAGTTTGGACACGAAAGAGGAGGCATTCACTCCACGAAGAAGACCAGCACAACCGTCGAGGAAGAGAAGTCTCTATCCAAACATATATCACAAAACACACGTTTAGTGAGTGGAACTGTCGATGAAGTGGCGCCTATTGTGAAGACTGAGAAGATTAAGTACAGTCCAAGCGCTCAACAAAGTCCACTACCGACTAAGTCTGTTCCTGTCATCGCAACCGAGACCCGCAAAGTGGCCTACACTGAGACTCGGGTCAGTACTTTCACTCCACATCTCACTCTTTGTTCATTATATCTATTATTATAATGCAAAACATTATATTCGATCCATATTTATAGCCGACTGCGAAGCAAACACAAGATTCGCACACAAGTCCATCAGCACTGAACTTAAGTACAGCCACTCCACCCCCACCCCCGCAATTCGCTAACGACAACAGTGCCGGCACTTCGCCGACCAATGGTGTGGCCGCACCCGTTGGTGATGTCGTCAGTTCACAGACTGTCTCTTCAAAAACCAGAACTGTTGAGACGATAACCGTATGAATACTTTTATATGATATATAATAATGAAATTGATATCAAATGTCTTGAATTGCAGTATAAGATGGAAAAGGATGGCGTCGTCGAGACAAGAGTTGAGCAGAAGATAACGATCCAAAGCGATGGCGATCCCATCGATCACGACAGGGCTCTGGCAGATGCCATACAAGAGGCAACAATGATGAACCCCGACATGACTGTCGAGAAGATTGAGATACAACAGCAGTCCTCAATCCAGTGATCCCTCTCTCGACTGTCGCACTCATCACTTGAGAGCAGCTTTTGTTTCTATATATGAATCCATTGTTTCATTCTTTTTAAGAAAAAAGTATTTTTTATTTGCATTTATAATTTTAATCAAATGTCCCAATAATTAGTTGTTTATGTTTTTGTAATGATAATTGTGCCACAAATTCAAATGGAAGTTATTTTATCGTTTGTATTACATTCTCGACTGCAGTCTATTTTAGACAAATTATTATAAAGTTTACAAATAATTATTAAAAATTTATTACTGATTCGCTATTTTCTAAGTGATAGCACTCTTTCGATTCAATTGAAATGCGATAAACGGCTCAACACTTGACTTGAACTATAGGTGAAGGAAATGGACATTTAATTTATGGTTAATTTCACGCGAAGACTGAATATTCTTCTATAATCTCTACTATTGTTCGCATTTTTCAATTGTGTTCGCCTTTCAGACCAAACGATCTGTAATTTAAAGAGAATATTATATTATATTATGAGTTGAATTCGATTTACAAAATATAAATATATATATAATTAATAATAAATCATTTCAAAACATTCATTCATTTTATTTGTTTGCAAATTGATTTCAAATACAATCGACATGTTTTGGACATCTTTATGGGAGCATCTCTAATATATTTATTTGATTTAATCAATTTTAATCATGCTAGCTACAACCATACAAATTAGTGTTAAAATTTATTTATAGTATTTTACGGCACGTGACATGAAAATAATAAAAATTAGTGTTTTTGAGTTTTAATGTTGATTCAACATTGTTGAAATACATTTTTAAGTGCTAAAGTTTTATGTCATAAATGAGTTTTAACATTAGTTTACTGTATTACAGTATTAAGAAAGTGCTAGGAGAGCTCTGGGAGAGGTTTTACTTTGTAAACTTGTATGAGTTTACATAGAGTCATAGTTGTTGAGCACATTCATAGTTTACATTTATCATTATATTAGAGAAGTTATTAAATATTAGGTAAGAAATTCTTACTTAAGTTACTAAGAATATTGGTGTCAAAAGTGGTTTACTGATAGTGTTTTACTCGTTATTGTTGCCACATGATCAAGTTAAATATTCAAAGTTAATAGTTATAATTGCTAATGTTATATGACACATTTGGAAAGATCGACTGGTCATCAATTGACCATTATTTATCTTATTTTCCCTGCTTTCAGAAATATAAAATATTTTTCTTCCAAAAAAAATTTGCCGGAATATATTTGACAGGAGAGGGAAGTGTCTAACGTTAATAATTGTAAGATTTAAAAGCTATTCGTGCAATACATTTAAATATACATAAGATTCTTGTTTAATCTTGTTTATGTTGAGTTGAGACACACATTGATTATTATTAATTTAAATATTCATTAATCTACAATGTACAGTATATCAAAATAATTTATACTGTGTATTAAATATTGTTACAAATTCTTAAAAATTCTGGTTATTTTGAACACATAGACTCGATAATAGATTAATGATGAAGGTTAATATAGACTTGATAATAAGAACTAAATACTACAGTTTAAAGTTTATACTATAAACAGTATTAATAGTGGCCATATATTTAACAAATAAAATGTTTAATATTTAAAAAAATTATTTTTAAGAACAATTAGAAATTTATATTAATTTTATAAATTATAATTTTAATTGTTATAAATTAGATAATGCAATAATAGCCTTACTCAAAAGATCTAAAAATTGGCAACATTTTTTTATGAACATACACTAACTCGGAGTGTATAATATGGAACATGTACAACTTTCTATACTCTAATAATAAGTAAAGTATATAATAATTGGTAGTAATTAATAGATTTAATTCATTTACAAATACATTATTTTAGAGATTATATGAATTGATTTGAAACATAATTTGTTGATCACAATTACAGGCAATGGATTTATGATTGAATGGCCAGAAGTATGTGATAAACTATTAATATAAGTTATTTAATGATATTTATTGATATGTTTTGATAGTTTGTAATGTAGTTCAGCTGTTTATCACTTAAGAAACGCTTCTTAAATATGAGAGCATTAAATAATACAGACATGACTACAAAAACTCTCATTTAATCGTTGATTTAACGCAAACAAATCACATCTGTTTTCCACTCATAAAACTCAACATCATTTACATCTCGTATATATAATTGGCATTAAATCTTATTGTCTTTAGTTATTCATTAAGACATTGATTGAGCAAAAAATATTTTATATTTTCTTTTCGAGATTTGATGTATTTTTTAAATATTTGTCTAAAGAATACCATTTCAAAGATAATAAGAGATTTTTTTTTACTAATTTTGATGATCACATGCAGGACTTCTCAAAAGCGTTTTGTGCTTTTAGCTGTGCCTCTTATGCTCCCATTGACAATACATTACACTTTACCCTCTTTTACCCGCTCTGAGAAACGTTGATCACAAGTGATTCACAACAACTGATGGCTTAAGAAGTGAGTGAACACGAGTCCTGTGGTGGACATGTAATATGATCTGTCAAATGGGTTACCAAACCTAACTGTCATTACCAGTCAATACAACTCTCTTAATTCATTGATAACTAATCTTTTAACGAATACACGAATTAAATTCTTTATCCCAAAGTTTTAGTAAATATTCCTATTCTTGTCATCTTATTATTTAGTCCATCAATTCAGTGGACTTAAGGTTAAGACATACTTTGTATGTATTGTATTGTAGATGTCTAAACAACTGTTTTTATGTTTTGACTAGATCAAATATGTTAATAATTTTGTATTGTATTACAATTGGAAAATTAATATAATTATTACAACATCGTGCCTAAATTGCACACACAGTAAGCCAATGTTAAGACATACACGAATATTAAGAATTCTGTACTTAACACTCGAACTTATATGTTATATCCTATTCATTATTAATAAAGTTCAATGTGTAAAACACCAAGTTTTTTGTTATTTAATTTGAGTGGCCGCTGGTCACTCTACTGCACAGTATCATTGATTTTAGAAAGTGAGTGGTTATAAAAGATTAAAAGATTTTTTTAAATAATTCAATGAAAATAATTTATAGTTAAAAATTGTAAAAATTCCAAAAACACTTATATAGGAGAGAAGAAAACGGAAAGTCGTTGGCATTTATTTCTGGTAAAACTGTTTATACAAAGTGAAGGAAAGGTTGTAAACAATAAACACTAAACAGTGGCACAGAATCGGTGTGTGAATGAGAAGCACGTGTCAGGATGTGGTCAAAGACCGGCCCTTTGGCCCAGACATACAAAACTGTTATATTGCGTAAAGGCGTCGATTGAAGGCTTTATGCATTTGACTTCTCGCTAACATTTTAAACTAAAAATCATTTGCATTTTGTTTATGCGTTTAATTGAATTATAACTTTCTAGAAAGAGGAGACAAACAGCACCGACACCGCACCAGCACAGACCCGGCACGTGCTCTTTGACGACCCGTTGCACAGCCTATGCAACGCTTCCCATTAAATGTAATATTTATATAAAAACAACTTTTTTTGTTTCAAAAAAGAGAAAAAGCGATGCTATGAGCGAACACTTGGAAAACATAGAGAATCCTTAATGTTTTGAGTGAGACTTAAATAGCAACCAATTGTTGGAGAAGGAGATGGTGTCAAAGGAGGAGCGCATCCACAGAATCGCACCCAA